CCAAATGTCTGCACTCTAAGGCGGAAATTAAGAGGTCCAACGATACAATAGCACAGAGGATAAGTGTAGACACCAGAGACCATACGGGAGGGTAGTGGATGATAGAATGGGAGGGGCCAAGGGGAAGAAACACGTAACAAGATTATAGAGTTCTCTGTTGAAAATTATGTTTGTGGTAATACCCTTGATTTGATTGTCATGTACTGCAGGCATGCTTTAAAAAAACCATACTGTGAAACAAACAAACAAACAAACAAAATACCCCACTATACTATGTGTTACAGAGATGCACAATGATTGAATATAATTAAAAAATTATTTTAAAAATTGATGTCCAGCAAGTGGCTGACCCAGGACTCAGACATGGACTCAGCTATGTGGGATCCAACTTCTTAACTTTCAGGCTACCTGCTGCCCACTCCTCAATCCCCAACCCTTGCTTTAAAATCAAATGCTTGTGGTTATGTTACTTAAATTTAAATAGGGTGTTAATTTTCTGCCAGAATATAATCTTACCTATTCTGACTAACAAGTGAGAAACATGAGACATAGCTCTGGGTCACAGAGCTAGTAAGTACTTATTCTCCTTTGTAAAGAGGAATGCAGCTCTTAGAAATCTGGCACCAATTAACAGCTCTGCATCTGTTGCAGGGACCTATATTCCCAAGATTTTTTTTTTTCTTCCCCATGCTCATGGTAAGCACCTCTGAGTGACCTTCAGTTCTCTCTTCCTGTGCCTAGGAGTAATCTAAAAATTATTTTCTGTACAAGAAGTCAAGTACCTACTGTCATTGTTTCCTGATTTAAATGGAATATGAAACCTGTTTGTTGTCTGTGTCATGGACCTTTGTTTATGTCACACTTGGTATTTACTGTTTTTAAAATAAGGGGCAGAAGCTCTAGGTTTGTTACACCAAACTCATCCTTAAACTTTTAGAATGTTTCTTTTGTAAATCCTGGATAATTAAGTTAATCACATCAACATTCTTTTTACAACTACAAATTGTTGTATGACAGGATATTACCTCATGAGACATAGCAGAAGTCTTCTGAGGGAGGAGTTCTAAGAATGTTGTCTCTTTTCTCACAGAAAGAAAGAAAGAAAGAAAGAAAGAAAGAAAGAAGAAAAGAACTAAAAAGGATAAAAAGAAAGAGAAGGAAGGAAAAGAGAAGAAGAAAGAAAAAGAGAGAGAAAGAGAAAAATATACATGAAGACCTAAAATCATCAAACAGATCTGAGTTCTCAAGCCCTTTTCTTGTTCTTTCTTATATATTTTACATTTAATTACTGTATATCTTTACTGCTAACTTAATGATTTTTCCCAGCACGAATATACTGCATATCAGTCTAGTCCAAGACGTTACCATGCACGATATCATCAACAGATATCTCTTCATTTTTTTTAATGTCTTTTCAATCCCATTGAGAAAGGGAGGGGGGAAGCATTGCATGTCTGTGAGAAAATCAGTATTAAAGGAAACAATGATAAAAATAACAATTGTTGGGAACCAGCAGTTAGCATAATGGCTATGTCGCTGGACTCCCACATAGTTGACCGAGGTTCGCATCTAGGACTCAGTGGCTTAAAACTCACGCTGGGCACGTGCCTGTGCATGCCCAAGATCCCAAGAAGAGAATGGAGGAAAAGTGATTGCTGTGGTGTGACCATCTCCCCTGGGGGGTGATTTCTCGCTTTCTGTCTCTTTGTCTCTCTCTTGTCTGTCTGGCGAGCACACGCACCCTATAGCGAGAAACCTCTCAAAATAAATAAATAAATAAATAAATAAAAATAACAATTGTTGGCCAGCAGGTGGAGTGGAGGTTACCACAGGTGGATTACACAGGGTGAGCTGCAGGGTGTGTCTCAGACATGGAAGTCACTGTGGGCTTTTGTGCCTGAGTGCCCCAAATCCTAAGAAGAGAATGGAGGATAAGGGATTGCAGCAAGGCCAACCTCTCCAGGAGGTGATTTTCCACTTTCCCTCTCTCTGTCTTTGGTAAGTGCACCAGTCCTATAGGGAGGAGGAGGAGGAGGAGGAGGAGGAGGAGGAGGAGGAGGAGGAGGAGGAGGAGGAGGAGGAGGAGGAGGAGGAGGAGGAGGAGGAGGAGGAGGAGGAGGAGGAGGAGGAGGAGGAGGAGGAGGAGGAGGAGGAGGAGGAGGAGGAGGAGGAGGAGGAGGAGGAAAATGGCTATATCTGTGGCTTAAATTATCAAGTGATTTTAATGTATATTTTTTCTCTTATGTGTTACATTTTTCCCCTATAACAAATGATAGACTTGAACCCAGATCTTGTGCCCATTAATTCCAAATGTTAATTGAAATATATAGAAAAAGTGAAAATAGGGACCAGCAGATGGCACAATGATTATATCGCTGGACTCCCACATGGTCAACCATAGTTTTAAGTCCCAAACCCAGTGGCTTAAACCTCATGCCCAAGATCCTGAGAGAATGGGGAGGGGAGTTCCTTGCTTTCTGCCTCTGGAGCAAGCACACACACCCTATAGCAAAAATCTAAGAAAAAAGATAGTAAAAATAGATTTTAAAGTATATTTTCAAATACTATCATAAAGCAGCCCCCTTTGAATTGAAAATACTAACACACTGATGGGGAGCCTGCCCCAGCCTAGGTATAGGGACCGTGTGCTTTCTCCTGCGTTTTAGTAAAATATGTAATCTCGTCCTCTCTGGACACAGGTCCCTTCATGCAGGCATTAGTTGACAGCACTGTGCGGCTGTTCCTGTGTTCTTGTTCTACCGTCTTGTCTGGGCCCTCCAGGAAGGTCAGATCCCTGCAGGAGGGAGGAGACCTGCAATACAAGGAGTTGGACTTCTTTGTCCATCAGCGGAGATGATAGGAAATTTTACTTTAAAGAAAAAGAAAGGACAGGAGATTTAAAAGAAAGGATAGGAGATTTAGAGAGAGAGTGAAAAGTTCTTGCTGTCATGGTGCCTCTCTTGGGCCTTTGATTTCAAGGTGGTAAAATATTTATTTAAAGAGATTTAATATGCTTAGAGTCCCACAGAGATCATGTTTTCATCGCACAGTTCAGTTTGGATGGCGCCTGGAATCAAACCAAGCATGGTGGTGGCCGTTTTCATTAGGAAGGATTTCTTGGTGATGAAAGTGTAGGTGACAGTCCAGCTACTACAGGTCAGTAGGATCTGAATTGAAGGCAGGATCCTGCCAAGCCTCGCCCAGTCCTCGAAAGACAGGTGCCACAGGGGAGACGAAGACGCTGAGTGATCGATGGCAGGCTCCTTTTGCCAGAAAGCAAGGCTTTCACTCGGGTAACCATTCAAAACCTCTCAGTGGCTTGTTTCCTGCAAGTGGCTTCATGCATTAGGTAACGTAGTCCGGACCCAGGAGGAAACAGTTTCTACACAGAGTCCTACGGTGCAAAGATGATGGCCCCGAACCGTGGTTTAAAACTCATAAATTGCATGCTGCACTCAAGCCCCATCTCGGAGGCAGTTTTCTCGCCATCAGACCGACAGCGGCAGCCCGGCTTTCCCCGCGCGGCACCACCCAAGCAGACCCGGGGACTCCCTCTTGCTTCTCTTCTGGCTCCGCCCAGAGGGGGCCGGCAGGGCCACCCGCGGTGGGGACACCACCCGAGCGAGTCTGGTTTCCGCCAAGCACAGCTGGCTGGAGACTGAGGGCGACAGGGAGGCCGCGGGAGGACCAGGGGTGGGGCGCAGCGTTCTGCCGGGGTCGGGGCCGCACGCCCAGGTCCCGGCTCCGGGACGGCGGTTCCCCGCAGCCCACCCCGGAATACAAAGGGAACCCTCGGCCGCAGGAAGTGCATCACGGAGAAGGGGGACGGGGGCGGGAGAGGGGGATGCCTCCTCTCTCTCTCTCCACCCCCGCCCGCCCCGAGCCTCGGGCAGTCGTGACGACACCCTCAGGGTCCCCGCGATGCCCCAGGAGTCGAGGGGTTTCAAACAAGGACACCCCCAACAGAGCTGGGGCGCGGGCGCTCGCGCCTTGTCCCGGGGGCGCGGACAGGCGCGGCCCCTCGCGGAGCTCCGACACCTGCTGGCTCCCCGCCCCCTTTCCTTCCCGGCGCGCGGGCACCTGGGCTCGCGTTTGTTTTCCACCCGCTGTTCCCAACTTTCCTTCCCAGTCTCCCTCCCCGCCAGGGTTTTCTGGAGAGCGGCTCCCAGCGTCCCCCTCCGCCCCCTGCAGGGCTGCGCGCACCGCGGGCGAGAGACTCTCCCGAGTAGAGCGCAGGCAGGAGGGGAGTTCCCGCGAGCAGGGGAGCGGGGCCCCAGAGACCACTTTCGTTTTCCACGGCACCTGCAGGCCTTGGCGCCCCGCCAGGCTTTCTTCCTGGAGGTGCCAGTCTTGGGGAGAGCCTCGCTATTGGGCGGGAGGAGAGACCAGCCAGGTGATTCGTGCGGAAGCTGATTTTGCAAAGCAAACCTCGCTGTTTTTACTAAAATGGCATGTTGCAAATCAATAAAAACAGCAAACTTTTCTGGAAACACTTTATTCACATTTCACCAGAGAGTGAGAAACCACCCAGTGTTCGCTTGAAAGGCTATTTCTTTTTTTGAAAAAGAATTTTTTGTTGTAGTTCAGGATGGTTTGGGAAGACCAATGGCAATTTGAGGAGGTGGGCTGAACCCCTTTTTGGAGCCCAGAAAGGAGGGGGTAGAGGTAGAAAAGCCCCTGCGCTTTGGGAGGGTTGCAGGAACTCTGGGTGGCGAATTGCAAGTCGCCGCCACCCGCAGCGGCAGGTGCGCCGGAAAGGGGCCGCCTCCCCCGGGGCTCCCGCCGCCTCTGCGCCCTTGGACACCACTGGGAGGGCTCCCTCCTCCTAAGTCCTAGGCGGAGGCCGCTACCTGCCCCGACCTGTCCCCTCCCCTTCTCCAACACCACACCCACGGGACTCCCGTCTCCCCGGGAGAGGGACGGGCGGGAACAAAGGGGTCTTTGTTCCCTGGCTCCTGGGGTGGGGAGCGCGCTCGCTCGCGTTTCCCGGCGCCCCTGGGAGACCGGGAAGCTCGGCGCCAGAGCCTCCCCCAGCTGGGGGCGCAGCCTCCCCGACCTCAGAGCCTTAGGTCAGGCGCGGCGCCTCCAGCCACCTCGGGCCACCTCGGGCTCTTTCCGGGAGGACACGGGGGGTGGGGAGGGGACAGACCCGGTGCGGCTGCGCCCGGCGGGGCCCCTCGGCAGGGGA